TAATATTATTAACCGGGCATTTAAATTTCCTAGTCACTATCCGAATTAATCGAGCCCGAGTGTTAGGATTTTTTTTTCTGGCCTGATTACATAACAATTTTTATGAGCCCGACGTTAGTAGTTGTTAGGCCCGATTTTTAAGGCCCAACAAGACTACCAAACTCTAGCTTTCTATTGGTCTATAAATAGCATCTTATCCACTTCACCCAACACCATATCCATTCATTTCATCTCCATCTTCTTCAACATCTCCCAACACCAACATTAAGCAAGCTCATCTCTTCCACACTCAAACATTTTCCAGCCGTCCACCTCTGTTTTCCGGCAAAATCGCCGCTGTCGGCGAGCCACAAGTTCCAGTCCGAGCCTCCCAGGTCCAACCACGCGTCATTCTCGAGCCCGGGCTGCAAGCCCGCACGCAGGCCCGCTCGTACGCGCGACCACCAGCTCAAAATCGCGACCCACGGCGAGCTCCTCGGTCCCACCCATTCACGCCGCTGTCCTTCCGCCCGAGCTCCGCCGCCGGCGACCATCTCGCTCACAGCAGCTCCGACTACGTCCGCGCGCTCAGCCCGTTCCCGTCGTTCGTACGGCCCGACTTCGGCTTCTGCTCGCAATTCCAGACCTGCAACTCCTTCTCGCGCGTAGACCCGCGACCACCACAGTCCAAGCTCGAATCTCGCATCACCGACCCGAAATCGTGACCCCAGCGAGCTCCCATCGAGCCCAGCTGCACTAGAACCTCGACCAGCGAGCCACCTGACACGCGAACTAGCCCAGCTGAACCGTGACAGCAGTCCAAGCTTCAGATCCGACCCAACCTCAGTCCACAACTTGAGCTCGCAGCTCCTTCGCGTCGGCAAGTCACCGCTATTCCATTTTTCGACCACCACGAGCGAGCCCGAGCCTCGATCCGTGCAAAAACTGAACCAGAAGCTCTTCCCCGCGCTGAACCACCTCAGACTTGGGACTTTCAGCAGCAAAATCGAGCCCCACAGCTCAAGATCCGAACCGATTGCCCTTTCTCCTTCATTTCTTAGCCGAGCTATTTCTCGATCCGCTCATTTTCGAGCATTGTGAGGTATAATAACTAAAACTCACATTTTATGGCTTAGACAAAATGATATAAATGGAATAAGAGAAAAATGATATGTCATTTGAGCGATTTTGGAAAAAAGGGGACATACGAGCTTGTAGCGATTTTTGGGATCTCGTTAAATAATTTCGATAAAATCTTGAAATAAATATCATAAATCTTGTTGCGTTGTCTTGAGGCGTAGGTTAAAATTTGATAATTTTTGGACTTGGTTTGGTAGGTAAACGAGCCGGTCAAATGCGTTGACCGGCCGTAGCGATGTGGAGTTGACTAGTCTAGGGGTTGAATTTGGACTTAATTTGTTGACCGTGGACCATACTTATATTGAGGATGTTATGTTTCGATTTTCGTAAATTTTGGATGTTGTTTGACTTAGTTATAAAAATCGAGACTTTAGATATTAATGCCGTAAAAATAAAATATTAGTTTGATTGAGATTTTAGCTGCAATTGTGGATTATAGATTTATTAGAAATCACATAGAATATATATATTAATTATCGGCCTTAAATGAGTTAGGATTTTCGAGAATCAAAACCCTAGTTTTATCCGGTTCCAGTAACCGGGTATTTTTCCGGATCCGACTATAAATGTATGAACCCTAGTACCGCCTGAATAATTATTAACCCTCGTATCGTAATTTGTAATGTGTATCGTCGTATCGCGCACGTGATCGCCTCTCGTCCGACCATTGGAGCCGAACCGCCGAGTGCGTGCCCGTGCGCCGAGTTCGAGTCAAACCACCGAGTGCGTGCCCGTGCACTGAGTCAATCCGTCTACCGTCTACCGTCTACGCGTCGTATTCTTTAGCCGTGGTTAAAGTACGCCCCTGCGTCAGTGACCGTGGAATCGTTTCAAACCCGTGCATTGGCTAAGCCGTGTCAGTCGAGTTCGTGCCGGCCCGAGTTGCCACGCCGAACCCGGACCACGGTCAAACCGAGCTGCACATAGTCAAGCGAATGATCGACTGGCTCTGAGTGAGCCGTCGGTCCAGTTCAGTTGAACCAGTCCGGGCAGGCCGGATGGTTCGTAGAGAATTTCAGATATATATTTCAGACAGAATTTCAGAGATAGAATTTCAGATAAAGTTAAGATTCCAGATATATTAAAGATCCAGATATAGTTTAGATTTTAGTCAGATTAGATTTAAGTCAGATTTTAATTCCAGACTTAGAAATATTTCAGAAAACTCTAGAATGCCTCAAAGACAATAAATTTTCAAAATCAGCTCGTAAATCCCTAAAATGATTTTTAAAGCCGAGTGAGCGAACCTAGATATATAAGATTTTAAAGATTTGAGTTTTATTCTGAGCCTAGTACTTAGAATATTTCGCTCAATATATTTTGTAGCTTGAGGAGAGTCGAGCCTCCATCAGCTACCCATTTCAGATATTTCAGCCTTTGCATTCGCCAGTTTCCAGGTGGGGACCATGTACTGTGTATTTCATCGCTTTTAATAATTTACCATGTCTGAGGTCTATATGTGATTAAATTGAAGGACTGAGACGGTTGAGTGATCCCGTCTTGGTCAAGATGTCAGATTTCAGTCGTGACTTGGTTGAGTGGGCGATGCCCAGCCTAAGTCTAGCGTCCAGATGGGGTGATTAGTGCCTTTCCTGGATTTCTGTGGGAGGGGACCCCCAGAGTGTGCACATGAGTACCAGTTTACCGTTAGTCCCATAGCCAGACCAGTTTTTTCATATATATGTTGATTTCATAGTTTGTTATTAATTGTGCTGAGTATATCAGTGCCGGTCCCGGTGGAGCATCATTGATTCCTTTGTGCTCACGCCTCCCCACTACCCTCTTTTTCAGGTGACGGAGTCCCGCGTGCAGCATGAGCCGGATATGTGGTGGTGGTCATTAGTCAAGATAATTGTGTTATGTCATGTTTTGAATTGTTTGAATTAATTATGCTTTATTTACATTCGTTTGTTGCATGTTTGTCTCGATGTTTGAATATATATTTGCTTCCGCACTCTAGAACAAATTGGTCGTAGTATTAAAGTTCTTCGATCGGATCGAGGTGGTGA